TGGAAAACCTCTCTGGTCTTTGTGTTTGAAATTCACTGCTCTACTGAGAGACCTTACAATTATTTTTATGTGTGGGGTACAGAGATGAGGTAGTCATTAAAAAATAATGTTAAACTCATATTGCACACAGTGAGTCCATGCAACTTATGACACAAAGGGGTTTAATACTATTTGACTCAAGACATTGCAGCTTTTCATTTTTAATTAATTAGGTACAAATTTAGAACAACATAATTCCACTTTGACATTATGGGGTATTGTGTGAAGGCCAGAGACACATCTCAATTTAATCAATTTTAAAGGCTGTAACACAATGAAATGTGGAAAAAGTCAAGGGGTGTGAATATTTTCTGAAGGTAGTGTATGTCTGTAAACACCACCTGTTAATGCCATTATACAGCACAAGTATAGTTGGATATGTTCCACACTAAGTGGCAGTATTACAGTATTACAGCCACAGAGCAATACCGCATGCACAGATATAGTCTGTGTCCAAAATGGCATCCTATTATGGGTGTTTACCCTACTTTTAGTGCACTACTTTTGACCAGTGCCTTTCTTTCACCAACCATACACGATCAAACATTAGTGTTGCAACACTTACTGGAAGGCGTGCCCAGAAAGAATGAGAGCAGGTCTTGGTGGACTATGGACCCTGGTCAAAAGTAGTGCACTACATAGGGAATAGGGTGCCATTTTGGACAGAACCATGGGCTGTAGGGCTCTGGTCAAATGTAGTGCACTATATAGGGAAAAGGGTAACATTTCGGATGTAACCATAATAGACTGGATCATTTCATGTACAATATAAGTGATTCTATTTTCATGTGGACATTTTTTCATGCAATATATGCAACTAAGACAACATTGCTGCTACAAAGCTGCTTTTTGAGTTGTGTCTCAAATATCTGAATTTTATCTAATGTGCCAAAATTCACCTCATTTTTCCTTTCTGTTGGACTGGACAACTAGATCAATGACAAAGACTTGGGGCTGGATTCAATCCGTAGCGCTGAAGTTCGATCCTACAGTGTGATTTAAATTTAAAGGCAATATTTCCATGTTAGCGGTGACTGCCTTCATGGTAAACGCTGCATATGACGGCTCCAGCGTTACAGATTGAATCGAGCCCTTGATCATAGTTATTATTGAAAATAAAAGCTTTGTTTAATGTCTTTATAAAACGTGTGACTAAAAGTGAGTCTTTGTAAATAAATAATAATGTAAATGAAATATGAAGTTAATCTTTTTTGGGGTTAGTTTTTGCAAGCAGCTTTTGTGACTGAATCTGAAAAAAATGCCATGATTGTAATCATGGAAGAAGATTCTGGAATTGTTACCTTTTGTTCACCCGTTGCTCTTTTGCTGATGTGTCTTGTCCATGCACAAACAAACATTTTAATCACACACAAACATTTTAATTCGTTTGTTTTAAAAGCTTTATTGCTAAGCCAAAACATTATTTTCCCAGTATTTCTTAAGAACTTCTCCTATTGCACTAAAAGAACGGCCAACATTGGACCCAGTCTAAAGATTGACCAGAAAGGTTGTCATGAAACAGTTCTGCATATTTAAAGGATGTCGCAGTCCTTTCTCGACTCTAGACAGATGTCAACCAGTCAGTTGACAAATCAAAATATCTGAATTCCTATATCTTTATAAAACATGAATTATTACATACAACACTTTGAAGCCTTTCATTCTAGCCTTCTTATAAGTATACAGTACATACCCACTCATTCTCAGAATATAAAAATATATGTAAGACAAATTAAACAAAACTTGCAGCATTCAATAGAATTCCCATCATGAAATATGAAATTGTCATGAAAGGAATTCTTGGTTCCTTCCACAGTGGCTCTGGAAACAGTATTACAGATAACTGAGAAACATACAGGAAGTAATGAACTAGTCACACTGTAGTCACACCATGTAAATCTTACACTGTAGTAGTCTACTTTGCCTCCAAAATGTTTGGAAAATCATGATATAATCTTGAAAGCCTACTTCTGATTTTTTACTTTCGTCATGTTGCTAGCTAGACCAATGATGACTACTATGATTAGTAGATAGTGATAGATATGATAGAGGTGTGTGCGCACCGAGTAAACAAACCAGACAGAAGACCTGAGAGACTGGACCAGATAGAGATGAATGATTTGTGATCAGGGTCGTGCACAGACCTTTGATGGAGCAGGTTCTTGAATTCAAAGTGTTCTACTTCTCCTTTTGCCAAATTCAACGTTATTAATTGTTTTGCATAGGCCTTCATTTTCTGCAAAAAACCACATCACACATTGTAGGCTAAGAAATCCAAAACCTCTACTGGGGTGGGCTACCAGAAGCTGATCATTGCTAACGTAGATGAATCAGCTTGTTATACTGTATGCTGTCAAAACAAGCTAACTAGTCTTTTCTTGATTTGAATTTGTTCTGCTTCTGACAAACATTCGAACTGAATTTGCCCACTTTCCTGTACATGACGTGAGACCAAATGCTAGCAACTCCAGTAACCAACAACTGGTATTCATTTCAAACTCACCACCCGGCACCAGTTTGGTAGCTTGTGCATGCAGGAGGAGTGCAGCAGCGCACTGCCTCGCTCGCAGTCAGCAGAAGGGCAGAGGATTTTCTTCAAGACTCATGAGAAATGATCTATACTGAACACGTGTTACCACACCAGCCCAGAACCGCCACATCATTCTTCACCTGCGGGATGGTCTGAGAAGAGCCACCCGGATAGCTGATGAAACTGAGTATGCACAACCGAAGAAATTCTGCACAAACTGTCAAAAACCGCCTCAGGAAAGCTCATCTGCCTGCTCATCGTCCTCACCAGGGTCTTGACCTGACTGCAGTTCGGCGTCGTAACCGACTTCAGTGGGCAAATTCTCACCTTCGATGGCCATTGGCACACTGGAGAAGTGTGCTCTTCACAGATGAATTTCAGTTTCAACTGTACCGGGGCAGATGGCAGATGTGTGGGCGAGCGGTTTACTGATGTCAACGTTATGAACAGAGTGCCCCATGGTGGCGGTGGGGTTATGGTATGGGCAGGCATACGCTACGAACAATGAACACAATTGCATTTTATCGATGGCAATTTGAATGCACAGAGATACCGTGACGAGATCCTGAGGACCATTGTCGTGCCATTCATCCGCCGCCATCACCTCATGTTCCAGCATGATAATGCACGGCCCCATGTCGCAAGGATCTGTACACAATTCCTGGAAGCTGAAAATGTCCCAGGTCTTCCATGGCCTGCATACTCACCAGACATGTCACCCGTTGAGCATGTTTGGGATGCTCTGGATCGACGTGTACGACAGCGTGTTCCAGTTCCCGCCAATATCCAGCAACTTCGCACAGCCATTGAAGAAGAGTGGAACAACATTCCACAGGCCACAATCAACAGCCTGATCAACTCTATGCAAAATAAATGTCTCGCTACATGAGGCACATGGTGGTCACACCAGACACTGACTGGTTTTCTGATCCACGCCCCTACCTTTTTTTTCTTTTGGTATCTGTGACCAACATATGCATATCTGTATTCCCAGTCATGTGAAATCCATAGATTAGGGCCTAATTTATTTATTTCAATTGACTGATTTCCTTATATGAACTCTCTCTCAGTAAAATCTTTGATATTATTGCATGTTGCGTTTATATTTTTGTTCAATGAAGTTTGATGGGAAATTCGTTTAAAGTTAGAACTAGAAAGGCCTCTTTGGACCCCCCTTCAAGCCAAGCTTCAAGTCTTTTGGGCGTCAACATTCTAACAGTCTAATAATTTCCTATATGCTATCAGAAAAATAATTATTTGGTTGTGTTTATGAAGGTCTTATTTCAAAAAACATAATAGTGTTTTCATTAGTTTATGTTACTGTAGTTAGGCTATACACTCACCGGTCAGTTTATTAGGTACACCACCCGTTCACAAGAATGGATCGCTCCTACAGACAGTGAGTCACATGGCTTGATATATAAAGCAGACAGGCATTGAGGCATTCAGTTACTGTTCGATTGAACGTTAGAATGGGCAAAATGAGTGACCTAAGCGACTTTGAGCGTGGTATGATTGTCGGTGCCAGGCACGCTGGATCCAGTATCTCAGAAACGTCCAGCCTCCTGGGTTTTTCATGCACGACTATGTCTAGGGTTTACCGAGAATGGTGCGACAAACAAAAAACATCCAGTCAGCAGCAGTCCTGTGGGCAAAAACAGCTTGTTGATGAGAGTGGTCGAAGGAGAATGGAAAGAATCATGCAAGTTAACAGGCGGGCCACAAACAGGCAAATAACGGTGCAGTACAACAGTGGTGTGCAGAACGGTATCTCGGAACGCACAACTCGTCGGTCCTTGTCACGGATGGGCTATTGCAGCAGACGACCACACCAGGTTCCACTCCTATCAGCTAAAAACAAGAAGAAGCGGCTCATTGGGTACATGATCACCAACACTGAACAATTGAGGAGTTGAAAAACATTGCCTGGTCCGACGAATCCCGGTTCCTGTTGTGTCATGCTGATGGCAGAGTCAGGATTTGGCGTAAGCAGCATGAGTCCATGGACTCATCCTGCCTGGTGTCAACAGTACAGGCTGGTCGTGGTATACCACCGTCCAATCTACAGCAACTGCGTAATGCCATCGCGTCAGCATGGATCAACATCCCTTGGAAATTTTCCGACTTGTAGTATTCATTCCCCGAAGAATTCAGGCTATTCTGAAGGCAAAGGGGGGTCCGACCCGTACTAGATGGGTGTACCTAATAAACTGTGTATGTACATTTTCAGCATTATTTGACAAACGTAATTGTATAAGAAACTGCAGAATCTGCTCTTTCTGATACTATATAGAAATCAAAACGTCTTACCTGCATGTGACTCTGCAGGAGGATTTGAAAAAAGTGACTTTTTGGCGCTCCCTGCCTCTGTGTCAATTCCAAGCTGTGCCCATCTCTTCTTATACAATTTGACAATTAATAATATTGTCACCCATCAGACAATTGTCAATTTAGGCTAACTCTATTATTAAATGTGTGAAATTAGTTTCGATATAGTTTAGGTGCAGTTTCGATGAGCCATCAGCTGGGCAGGCAGACTGACTGTGAATGACTGGTGGTGAAAGAGGGGCAGGGAGAAAAAATGTCCTCGTAAAACCGCTCATAACACAAATTCTGTTTGTGATATTAAGATTCTGTGTTATATAGACTTATTAAGGAAAAGTAAAGGACGGGGGGAGGGGGCGTGACTTTCAAAATGGCAGAGTAATTAAAAATGTCAACATGACGCTCTCGGCTCTCCTAGTGTCAAACGAGGGGAAAAGGCCTGGGGGGAAAAAGAACAAAGTAATTCCACCAATCCAAAGGGCACCTTTTCCATACGAGGTAAAAAGGGCAGGCACTTCAGAACCCCTAGGGGCTCTATCTATGCACGTGCCTGTTTGTGATCTTACCTACAGAGGATATTATTAGAGACAATACCTTTTCCTGACCATGTGACCTGACTCCTGAACATGTGACCTGACTCCTGAACATAGCCTATAACTAAAGCCCAAAGCATCTCCTTGTGTTGGTCACACGGTCAGGAAAACGCCTGGCCCTATAGTGATGATTTATAATAGAGAATTCTCTCTCTCTCTCTCAGAATCCAAGTGTCCATCTGGCTGAGTGGTCAGAGCAAACACAAACATGTAGAATGTGAAGATGGTACCTTTACCGCTTTCCACAGCTGTCCCTTTAAATGTCCTGTTTCATTCAGTTTGTTTGTTGTGATGGTGTTGAAGAAGGGTTTCTCAATGTCTTCCTCCCTTCATCCATCCCTTCATCTGTGGGTGGTTAGTGGGCTGCAGTACAGGACCGGATGCCTGAGTCCTCTGTAGTCTGGGACTATTTATTCATTAGTTATTCGGAACCCCGTTAGCTGCTCCTCTTCCTGGGGTCCACTACGCACGGACTACATTGTCTCCACCCCCAGACCTGGCTGTGTGACGTAGAACCCTCATTGGGGAACAACAGTCTTGTTTCATAAGGAAACACATTCCCTCAGGTCCGTTGTGCAGGCAAATCTCACAATTATTAGTTTGTGGGGTAAATGTTTGTGATGGGACTTAAGTGTTTCTGTCGTCTCTCTCAGGTGCACAGGGTGGCTACGGCGGTGGTCTCTCTCAGACTACTATTCCTTGGACGATGATGATGAGTACGGGCGTGAGGTCCATCATCTTCTTCAGCATCTCCATGATGTCGTTGTGACCCTTCGCCCCCTCGATGAACTCCTCTAGGGTCAGCTCACCTGTGGGGGGAGAAGGGGACAGGTCAGGGGTCAACTCATAATAACCTCCAGGAAGACAGACAGGTGGTGACTCTTACCCTCTCCGTTGACGTCGACCTTCTCGAATATGAGTGACACAATCTCCCCTGGGGTGACATCCTGGTTCCGCGTGATGTCCTGGACTGCCTGAGAGCGAGAGAGAGAGAAACATTTCTTAATTGCTTGAATGCAATTCTTGAAACAATGTTGTCGATTTTCAAAACAGTTGACACAAGACACAGAAATCTGTGGAATTTTGCAAAACTGTAAATGCATTTTCAAAATTCAACAAAACAATGTGTTATCCTAAAAACTGCAAATGCATAAATCAAAAGAACATATTGCCTAAAAAACTATTACAACCACAAATATATATTGGAAAAGGCTAGCAAAACAAAGAGTTAGTTTGTCTTTAAAAACATTCCACCATCATCATAGATTTTGCAATCACTAGGGGCTCTATTCAATCCGCGGAAATTCAATCGTGGAAATTCAGCTTTACAGCAGGAGACTGCATTCACGGTAAGCGCTGCTTGTTAGGGGTGTGCCGAGTCCTTGGACAAAACGAGTATAGTAACGGATATGGAGAATTTTTGGAATATGATTATGACAAGTATGTTTTGTAATTATCTGTGATCTGAAAAAAGCTATTTTCAGCTGCCATCACACACACCTCTCTTTCACTCAAACAGTGTGAAGCAAGCGCCTGTGCTCTAAACTACTATTGGCTAGTTCTTCTGTCTGTAAAGAAACGGGCAGGGTATCGGTTGAGCCTACTGCAACGATTGGATTAGAACACGCCACTATCTGTCTGCTATCATTTACCCAGACAGACGCACGAGCGGCTGAGTCACTCGTCTCAGGGCACAAGTCCCCCTTTCTCCAAACATCATGTATGAATCAGAATCCGTTGCTAGTCATTGTTTTTTTGTTGTTCATTTAATATTTTATTTTATGTAATTTTTTTTAGGGGGTAGATCAACTTTAATATTGCAGATAGATTGTAACTTCCATCAATGTAATTGTCTGCATCACTTCCAATCCCCATATGTTTTTTTTATTCTCGCAAATATATATACATACATATATAAAGTGGGGAAAAAAGTTTCTCAATACTTTGTTATATTCCCTTTGTTGGCAATGACACAGGTCAAATGTTTTCTGTAAGTCTTCACAAGGTTTTCACACACTGTTGCTGGTATTTTGGGCCCATTCATCCATGCAGATCTCCTCTAGAGCAGTGATGTTTTGGGGCTGTCGCTGGGCAACACGGACTTTCAACTCCCTCCAAAGATTTTCTATGGGGTTGAGATCTGGAGACTGGCTTGGCCACTCCAGGACCTTGAAATGCTTCTTACGAAGCCACTCCTTCGTTGCCCGGGCGGTGTGTTTGGGATCATTGTCATGCTGAAAGACCCAGCCACGTTTCATCTTCAATGCCCTTGCTGATGGAAGGAGGTTTTCAATCAAAATCTCACGATACATGGCCCCATTCATTCTTTCCTTTACACGGATCAGTCGTCCTGGTCCCTTTGCAGAAAAACAGCCCCAAAGCATGATGTTTCCACCCCCATGCTTCACAGTAGGTATGGTGTTCTTTGGATGCAACTCAGCATTCTTTGTCCTCCAAACACGACGAGTTGAGTTTTTACCAAAAAGTTCTATTTTGGTTTCATCTGACCATATGACATTCTCCCAATCCTCTTCTGGATCATCCAAATGCACTCTAGCAAACTTCAGACGGGCCTGGACATGTACTGGCTTAAGCAGGGGGACACGTCTGGCACTGCAGGATTTGAGTCCCTGGCGGCGTAGTGTGTTACTGATGGTAGGCTTTGTTACTTTGGTCCCAGCTCTCTGCAGGTCATTCACTAGGTCCCCCCGTGTGGTTCTGGGATTTTTGCTCACCGTTCTTGTGATCATTTTGACCCCACGGGGTGAGATCTTGCGTGGAGCCCCAGATCAAGGGAGATTATCAGTGGTCTTGTATGTCTTCCATTTCCTAATAATTGCTCCCACAGTTGATTTCTTCAAACCAAGCTGCTTACCTATTGCAGATTCAGTCTTCCCAGCCTGGTGCATGTCTACAATTTTGTTTCTGGTGTCCTTTGACAGCTCTTTGGTCTTGGCCATAGTGGAGTTTGGAGTGTGACTGTTTGAGGTTGTGGACAGGTGTCTTTTATACTGATAACAAGTTCAAACAGGTGCCATTAATATAGGTAACGAGTGGAGGACAGAGGAGCCTCTTAAAGAAGAAGTTACAGGTCTGTGAGAGCCAGAAATCTTGCTTGTTTGTAGGTGACCAAATACTCCACCATTTTCCACCATAATTTGCAAATATATTCATTAAAAATCCTACAATGTGATTTTCTGGATTATTTTTTCTCAATTTGTCTGTCATAGTTGACGTGTACCTATGATGAAAATTACAGGCCTCTCTCATCTTTTTAAGTGGGAGAACTTGCACAATTGGTGGCTGACTAAATCCTTTTTTCCCCACTGTATATATATATATATATATATATATATATATATATAGTGGGGAGAACAAGTATTTGATACACTGCCGATTTTGCAGGTTTTCCTACTTACAAAGCATGTAGAGGTCTGTAATTTTTATCATAGCTACACTTCAACTGTGAGAGACGGAATCTAAAACAAAAATCCAGAAAATCACATTGTATGATTTTTAAGTAATTAATTTGCATTTTATTGCATGACATAAGTATTTGATCACCTACCAACCAGTAAGAATTCCGGCTCTCACAGACCTGTTAGTTTTTATTTAAGAAGCCCTCCTGTTCTCCACCCATTACCTGTATTAACTGCACCTGTTTGAACTCGTTACCTGTATAAAAGACACCTGTCCACACACTCAATCAAACAGACTCCAACCTCTCCACAATGGCCAATACCAGTGAGCTGTGTAAGGACATCAGGGATAAAATTGTAGACCTGCACAAGGCTGGGATGGGCTACAGGACAATAGGCAAGGAGCTTGGTGAGAAGGCAACAACTGTTGGCGCAATTATTAGAAAATTGAAGAAGTTCAAGATGACGGTCAATCACCCTCGGTCTGGGGCTCCATGCAAGATCTCACCTCGTGGGGCATCAATGATAATGAGGAAGGTGAGGGATCAGCCCAGAACTACACGGCAGGACCTGGTCAATGACCTGAAGAGAGCTGGGACCACAGTCTCAAAGAAAACCATTAGTAACACACTACGCCGTCATGGATTTAAATCCTGCAGCGCACGCAAGGTCCCCCTGCTCAAGCCAGCGCATGTCCAGGCCCGTCTGAAGTTTGCCAATGACCATCTGGATGTCATGTGGTCTGATGAGACAAAAATAGAGCTTTTTGGTCTAAACACCACTCGCCGTGTTTGGAGGAAGAAGAAGGATGAGTACAACCCCAAGAACACCATCCCAACTGTGAAGCATGGAGGTGGAAACATCATTCTTTGGGGATGCTTTTCTGCAAAGGGGACAGGACGACTGCACCGTATTGAGGGGAGGATGGATGGGGCCATGTATCGCGAGATCTTGGCCAACAACCTCCTTCCCTCAGTAAGAGTATTGAAGATGGGTTGTGGCTGGGTCTTCCAGCATGACAACAACCCGAAACACACAACCAGGGCAACTAAGGAGTGCCTCCGTAAGAAGCATCTCAAGGTCCTGGAGTAGCC